ACACTTGGCTAGACGACCAAAACGGAGCGGTGAACGAGACCGACATTATCCTGGCACACGCTGATCTCCTGTTCTGGTAAGGGTGACAGATACTAAACAAAAGGCACAGTTAATCACGTCGTTAGAATGAAACATTCTAGGAAGGAGTTTAGTGGCCTATGAAAGTGGACCACACCGGATCCCGACACAGTCTGAGGGTGGCAGTCAGGGATGGGGGCAGTTTCTCTTTTATATTAGATCAGTTAGTCCCCTAACAACCTTGTGAGTTATTAGTCATCATTTTACAGAAACAAAGGCTTAGGGCAGGGAGTCAAACCTCTTCCCTGAGGCACAGTTCCCAGCTTCTGAGTAGTGACAGCAAGGTCAGAAAGCAAGGAGGGTGATTCCAAATGAGATGTCTTCACTCTGCCTGGTCATGCCAGATAATGTGACCTGGAGGACTCAGGTTTCATCCCTGAGTTTAAAGGATTTCTTCTTCCTTCTCTCCCTCCCTTCCCACCAGCTCTAACTCTCTCTAACTCCCTCTCTCTCTCTCTCTCTCTCTCTCTCTCTCTCTCCTCTCTTGCTGTCGGCTAAATTGTTTTGTTGAACTATGCGGACAGAGCCAGCCAGCGAGGTTACATGGACGCAGACATGGAAGCTTGCTGTCCCTTGCATCAGAAAGCAGAGAGTGCCCATCTGGCAACTGGCCGCAAACACAAAAGAAGCTCGCGCCGAAGGTGACTCAGCTCTGGCCCTCTCAGCAAGGCTGTACCATTAGCTCTTAAAAAAGAGACCAGGCAGCTTCGAGGAGACCTCAAACCGATTCCACAGCAAGCCACTTCCCACTCGGAAGTGGATGGGCAGACACTGCTGGCTCTTTCGTGAGCAAAATGGCAGAGTGCATCCCAGGACTTGAGCGTAAGACCCGCTAGTCCAGGCAGGTCTGTGTTTGGGTCAAGTGTAGCATTTGTCTCCGTCACCTGGAAGTTGGCCTTGGGAGCAGGCTTGTGACTGGCTGACTCATTTTGCCTGGCCCCAAAACAGCTATTAGGTGAAGATGGCTTTGAGAGAGAGGGAGCGTTTCATATGAATGCAAAGACATCTTCCAGGCACCTCTGACAGAAGCTCTAAGGCCCAGTGGAAATGGCACAGGACTGGGAACCAGCTGGATGAACTTGGAAGCCCAGCCCAACCCCTCCGCAGCAGTGTGACTAGCCCGTCTCGGCACCTTAGTGCCCAGTGACGTGGAGGAAGGGAGAAGAAAATGGAACGCGTTGTTTCCGGGCCTCTTCTATGAACCAGGCACTTCACTCATCTCATCTGGTTTAATCTTCCTTCCCCCCATAGAAGACCATTTAACAGATGATCCTAACACCTCCCTCCCTAGGTGTCTTGAGAAATCAATGAAATACATAGATTAAGTGCTTAGCATTACAAATCTTATGTATTGTCGTAAGTATTATTCCTACAAATATTAGCCCCATTTTATAGATGAAAAGCCTGAGTCCAGGAGGCCACATAGCAGTTGTTCTAATCCAGCTCTGCCTGGTTCCAAAGCCCTTCTTAACTCTATCAAAATAGTGCCAACCTGCCTCTTCCCTCTTGCCGAGGGGTTGGCTAAAAGTTGGAAAAAGAGAACAAGAGGAAAAAAAATTAGTCAAAATGTTTCTTGAACAAATAATTTAACGAGAATTCAAATCATTAAGAAACTATTAATAAATAAAATTCATGTATTAATAATTTAAAAACATTTCATAAATATTTATCAAGGGCTATTTATGTGCTAGTCATTGTGCTGCTATGGAGATAAAAAGGAATTAGATATGAATTCTGCCTGTTTACCTATAGTCTAGTGAACATGCAGAAGTCAATCTAGTGACAATAGGAGTAACTGATAATAATAATAATAAAATAATGCACTAACCTGCATTGATGTGCCCTATATTCCAGACGTAATCATTGGCATCTTGCCTGCATCATCTCTTTAGCATTTTAAACAATCTTCTGTGATAGGAATTAATTCAGTTTTACAGGGGAGAGACCAGAGCTCAAGAGGTTATGTAACATGACCAAAATTATATAATTTGGAAGTGGGACAGAACCAAGAGGGAAACCCAGGTCTTTCTAACCGAAATCCGCCCTCCTAACCATTGTGCTGCCCTTCCTCACTCTCCTTAACCAGCCCCTCTACTCACAACTGTGAAAACAAACTCATTAGCCTGAATGGCTTTAATAAAAAAGCAGAATTATACCAATTAGCACTAATAGGGAACAACACCAAATAAAGTCATATGAGCTCCCTTTTGACTTTCCAGTTTCCCATTTTGGTACAGACCTGTTACTTTCTACTGCCTCTGGTCCTCCTGTGCGAAGAAAACACAAATCCTACAGCAGTGGTTCCAGTCACACTGCAGTTTACAGAAGACTTTGCAATGCGTTCAAGGCTGTTCTGTGACTGCAGGTGAGCTCCTTCCTAAAAACACAGGCCACCATCCTGTCACTTTAAACAGCCCTTAATCAAACAGTAACCATAGTTTGATCCTTCTCTAAAGGGTATATTTGAATGACATTAATGAAAAATAAAATAATCATGTCATATCTCTCTCATTCTTTTCTTCTAAGTCGCTCCAAGATATCCAAGTCAGACACAGGTAGGCTTGAAGTCATGCAAAGGATATATTTGTGGACAATATTGAGGGCAAGAAATTAAGTGTAGTTAATGGATTCTTCCCCCTCAAAATCACACCAAGGAGACAATTCTCAGTAGAAAAATTACTCTCTTTCTAAGTGTCGGCAGAGGGGGAAATATACTTTTTCACTAGATTCAAAGTATTTGGGGAGGCGGACACTCCCTCCACACTCCATCATCCCAAACTCTCCCAGATCTGGCCACAGCTTCCTACCAATTCATCCCTCCCTCTTTCATCTTATAGACAGCGTACTTCAACTGCACAGAGATCCCTGTGTTATTCAACACACTGAATAGCTCTATCCCATATGCTCCATCCACAAACCACTTCAAGGTCAAGTTCAAGGCTCAGCTCAGAAGTCACCTTACTGGTGAAGACTCCCCTGACCTCCTAGTCTGGGAAGCTCAAGGACCTCTCTCCTTATGCCCTGCTTCCCTCTGACATGGTCATTATCATTGCGTATCTGGATCGTATCTTGGAACATCTTTCTTTCCCACACAATTGACAATTCTGGGGACTGGGCTTTAGTTAGATCTTTTTTATGGCTGTCTTTTCTCGTGAAAAAGAAAAACAGCTCACATTTGTGTAGGGGAGACAGTCAATGAACAAGAAAACAAACCAATAAACAAGTAAAATATGTTTTATAGATTATGATAACTTCTAGACTGGAAGATAAATGGGTACTACAGTAGAGAATAAAGGAAAAAAACTACTAAGCATGGATGATCAGGAAAGAGCCCTCAGAGGAAGTAGAATTTATGCTTAGACCTAAAGGCAAAGAAAGACCCAGGCCCACAGTGAGCTGGGCCAAGAACAATCCCATAGGATTGTTCCCTAGCAAATGCAAAAGGTCTGCTATGGCCAGAGCTCAGTGTGTGCAGGGGACTAGGACACCCGTGTGATGGGAAGTGGTAAGAAACAGGGAGACAGAAGTGAGACTAAGTAAGTACAGAACAGACACAAGTCCAGACCAGATCAGGCTGGACCTTGCAGCCACAGTAAAGAGTCTTGGTTATTATAAACACAATGGGAAGGTATTAAAAGGAATTTCATGAGGAAGTGACATTATTTGACATGTTTTTTAAAAGACCATTCTGACTTCTATATGGGAAACAAATGGATTGAGGACTCAGGGGAATAAGAGTGGAAGTGGAGAGTCCAGTTGGGGGGTTATTGCTCCATGACCAATCTCAGTGTCTGATATGGGTAGAGGCGTTCAGTAAAAGAGAATGAATGAATAAATGAATGAGTTAGATTACCCTGAGGCTTCCAGAAAGACTGTGGCCAGCCAATGCTTTACCAGCTGGTTGTGATTATATCTCTTCCTTCCCCTTAGCACCTACAGCACTTGACTTATTCTGAAAAACTTCCAAAAACCACATTCTGGAAATTCCTCATTCATCTCAGGCCCAGATTTCCCATGTCACAGGGTTGTAAAAATCACCATCTTGTCCCAGTAACATTTTATCATGTCTGACATCATTTCTTGCCACTGTTCTTCATTCCTGAGAACAGAAAACAGCCTCCTATTTCTAGCAAAAAAAGAAGGAAAGAAAGAAAGAAAGAAAGAAAGAAAGAAAGGAAGGAAGGAAGGAAGGAAGGAAGGAAGGAAGAAATGAAGGAAGGAAGGAAGGAGGAAAGAAAGAAAGAAAGAAAGAAGGAAGGAAAGAAAGAAAAAGCAGGTTCTGCTCCAACCAGACAGAGAAGAAAAGGTGAAGAGAAGCGGGGGAAATTCTGATGGGGACTTTCATCCCCTTTTCAGGAAGCTGGCTGTGAGCCATAGTTGTAGTTTTGACTCTAAACCTGTGAAACCTCAGCATGCCCAGCGGAGCCAGGAGGGGCGGGCTCTTGACACGCAGAGTTCCTGAGTAGCACAAGTATCCACTTTTCCTCAGCGATCTCCTGCTTTATGAGCTGGGCTGCTCTGAAGCCTGGATAGACGCATTTCATGCCGAGTTTAGGGTGAAAGAGATTTGGCAGGTTCTATTCCCAGGGTGCTCTGGAAAAAAGACCAGGATTGTTGAACATAAGCTGTGCTGGACTCATTCCTAAACCAACAGGAATCAGCTGCTCTTTGACAGTGGGGTCTGCTAACAAATGGGAAATTCTTCAAGGGGAACAGAAATAAAGGGAACGAAGAAGGCACTGAGTATTCCATACCGATATGACTCCAGCAGAGCTTTTCCCCCACTATCCTCTAGCTCCTATGAGGACCATTACAAGGGACATAGAAGTAGTTCTCCAACTGACAGACTTATAAAAAATGTAAAAGCAATAAAGTTAAATGAATTTTTGAGCTAGAGAATTTAATGATCAAATAGTCCTGCTTCTCATGAGGAAGTTGACATGCAGAGGTAGGGAGTGACTTCTCAAATCTACCAAGCTATTAAGGGCACAGCAGAAAGATATCCCAGGTAACCAAATTCCAGTCGGTCCAGCCTCCTTCTGACACCGTGCATGCCCTGTATGTTTTTCCAGAGACACTGGAAAGTGATAAAGGACATTGACTCATCCTACAGACCTAAGATGGAATCTCTGTGAGACACTCACCACATCTGTGACCCTTTGCAGGTTTCTTCCCAGGAAACAAATGGGAATGATATCACCTACCTCATAAATATAATAAATGAGACAATGCCTATAACGTCTGTGCCCATGTGTTCACCAAATAGTTTACTTCCTTCTGGATATTGAGGAAAACTCTTTTTCCAGTCCTTTGCAGCTGGGTGGGACCATATGATAAGTTCTGGCCAAGAGAATGTATACAGAAGTGGCATGTCTGTTCGCTGAAGTCCACACACACACCACTTTCTTCCTGTTGTCTTTCCACAATGACTACATTGAAGATGGCAGCATCTCAAAATAGTAGGAGCTGGATTCTTAAATCACTGTGTGAAGGAAAGCCACCTGACCAATATCATCCACGTTGAATTCTGTGAGTGAGAAGAGAACGTTTCTGTGTTAATCCATATTTTAGAGGATTGTTTGTTACAGCACCTACTGTTATTTACTCTGACTAATATAGTAAAGACTCATTAAATGACAGCTATTATAAATGGTATATTTTGCTTTATTTAGAATCTATACTAGCTACAGATTCTTATAATCAGAACTTATTTTAACAATACTGTGATGACCAACTCTGCTGAGAGGCAACATTAGATTCTGAAGCCTTCGGTTTGTGAACCAGTGAAGAATTCCTCTGCTCTGCATGATGTGCTCTGTATAATCTCACTGTATATAGCATTTTAATTTATCAAAAGTCAGCAGTTAAGGGGAGATCTCATTTTTTAAAAGCATTCATTTAAGTGATTAGTAAGTTCCAGACATTGTTCTAGGTATTACCACATATGTTGTCCTATGCTAGCCTCAAAGTAGCCCTTTAAAGTTGTGAATAACTATTATTCCAGCCATGCCCACTCCCACCTCAGGTATCTTACACATTCCATTCTTTCTGCCAAGAATACTCTTGCTCCGGACATCTGCACGGTTCACACCCTAGCTTTGTTCAAGTCCGTGGTCACTCTGTCTGAAACAATGTCCCTCTGCCACCCACATGACCAATCCCCATTCTTCTCTATCTCCAGTGTACATATCTGGCTGTTCATTCTTAGCACCGTTCAGGCCTGGTGGACCAGAGCCCAGTCTCTGATGAAAAGGGCGCTTCTTAACCAAGGCCACACTGGGTTCTCATGTTCCCTCAAAATTATTATTTTAAGAATAGGAAAGAAAAATATTGAAGGTTATATAGAAAAACAGTATGTTGAAGGTTACATAAACAACATAAGCAATAGTATGAATCACTATTTTTTAACAAAATGAAAAAAAAAGATATGCCTTTAGGCAAGTACGAATGAATACTCTCAGATTTTGTTATGCATTTTTTAGACCATCCTTTAGAGATCTTGCCCCTTCTTTCAATATCTACATGTTAAAATGTTACGATGACCCTTGCTAAAATCGAGAGCTATTGCCAATTATGTTACTGATGGATCTTGGCACTGACACTGAAAACCAGTGTCTCTCCTGAATAAGGACAAAAAAACCTGGTGATAATTCTTCTGGAGAAGTTACCAGTATTTACAGTTTATTAAGAACAATGAATAAGGATCTTCTGAAGATGCCTATAAAGAAAAGCAGGCACTTGGTCCCCACGGAAGTCATCCTTTTGGAGCAGGTCTGGTGACCGATGAAATGGGTTTTGTGTAAAATGTAAATTCACATTTTGTGGAAACTGGAAGTTCATTCATCTTAATCATGTCTGTTATAGTCTATGACAGCTTCCAAAAATTGCCAGAGTAGGTTTTTTATCTGATCTTTCAACATTATTGGAGGTCATATAAACAGGATTATATGAAGTCCTTCACTGCCAATTAATGTAATTCTAAATCAACATTCCGTCAATGATGTGCAGATTTTACAGCATAAGGAAGAAGAGAGAAGAGCTCATTTTGTCCTTCAAATGGATTTCCCTGCTTTTTGTTAATGCTTAATTAAAAAGAGGGGGAGATGGGAATTCCCTGGCAGTCCAGTGGTCAGGACTCGGTGTTTCACTGCCAGGGCCGGGTTCTATCCCTGGTCGGGGAACTAAGATCCTGCAAGCCGTGTGAAATGGCCAAAAAAGAAATAAAATAAAATAAGAGGGAAGAAGGAAGGAAGAAGAGATGGAGGAAGGGAGGGAAAGGAGGGAGGGAGAGAAGGAGGGAAAAATTCTACTTAATTTATTTTAAGATGTTTTGGGAAATTAATCCTTTCCTTATTTTCATCTTAAGAAAAAAACTTAGAGTTATTGAAAGGTTAAAAAAATCCATTTTCTATGAAATTGAATGTCTAAATGGTATTCTAATTTTATAATCTAAAATGTGACTCTTTCTGAACCTAACATGTAGGAGACTTATTTTTAGCTAATAGATCTAGCACAGGGAACTAATTTTTTTTTCATGGAAATGAAAAACAGACCAAATTTCATTTATTCATGGAATATCAGCCCTACCATTAAGTGTAATTTGCTTAACTTACATTCGCCTTGAAGGATTTCAGAGCATTTCTGGGACAATACTTTCCATAAGTCTCCACAGATATAAAGAGGAACTGCTTTCATGTGAAAATCTTTATAAATTCTGGATTAAATTTTTTCCTTCCCCCTTCTAACTCTATAGGAAATCTCCCAGGGATGTATGAGAAAAATTTTAGTGTCAAGTAAATTATCTCACTAACTTCTACAATATACTTATAAAAAAACAATGATACGCTTCAAGCTAATAAAGTTAGAAAGAGTCAATAGATGAAGTAGAATAATCCAATGAATAGGTGCTTTCCTGATCTAGCCATCTGTGATCTACAGGAACCGCCTTGTTTCAGGTGCTCCATGTTTTGCGCTCCAGGATACATTCAACCTCTAGAGTTAGACCTTCGAGGTGGAATCCCAGTCTGTCTCTTACCCTCTGTGTGACCTTTGTCCTCATCCTTAAAACGGGGAAAATGACATTCTCTACCTCTGGTTTGCGAAGAGAACTAAGTCACCTACTACATGACAATGACCGTCTCCGTGTCTGCCACACTACCCCATTATCCTTGTCATCTTCATCTACCACCATAGCTTCAAAGTTAACCCTATGTCTGATCTTGCCTTCTTTAAATCTATCCTCGAAATTGCAGCCAGGGTGAAGTTTCTAAAAGAGAAACTTGATCATATTTTTCCATGCATTAAATAATTTAATGTTTCTTCATGGTCCATAGAATAGCATCCAGAGCCCCTAGAGTGGCAGATTACACCTTTCAAAATCCAACCTTTGCTTCCTGTCTGCTATCTTCCCCCATCCTTCTCTCTTCTCTTATTTCCTGTCCTTGCTCTGAACTTTCAGCCACACAGAACCATTTGATAAGCATGAAGACTGCCTTCTATTTACTTGCACTCCTCTGTACTTCCCTCTGCCTAGAACTTTCTTTCCAATCTTATCTTCAAAAGGTTGGATCCAAAAAATTCTTTTTTCTTAAAGCAGAAAACCCCAGTCTCACCAATGCACAGAGGAAGGGAAACGTAATCTGCTCCAGTGATGTTCAAAGAGGAGCAGGTGCCAATTTGCTTACCAAAGAGAGGATCCATTATGAACTCATCAGGCCTGCTGCTTTGCACATTCCCCCTGTGGCCTAATTGCTTGCACTGTTGATGTAGTCATAATCTAAGCATTCCCAAAGTCATCCTGGACAACTCACAACACATCTTAAGAAGTATCTGCAGCGCAGATTGAACCAACACTTTAAAAATATTGGGAAATGATAAACATAGGATTCTGTTTAATTAAATACGTGGCTGCAATTAAACTTGAAGATACGTTCTTCTCGTGCCCTGCTAAACTGTACTTGTACACATAGGCAATAAGATAGCTACTTCTCAATTAGCTTTGGTAAGTGAGTGAAAGAACAGGACAGATAGCTTAAATATACTGATAATTTCTATTTGGGATTATGGTGCATTTGGGGATACTATAGAGGCTATTTATAGGACCCATGAATACCCACACCCTGCCAAGCCTTTATCACCCCTTCTTATGAAGTCCTGGAGAGAGATATATGCACAAGAGAAAATAGAAAGTAAAAAATCAAGTGCCACTTTATTTTATTTATTTATATATGATATAACTAAATATTATATTTATTACAATTAGGTGGGCTTTCACCTGAGACTCCAATTATAAGTTCTTTGGTTAGTTGGGCTGGAGACATGACTTGGATCACATAATACACAAAAGCCTAAGGAGCTTTACCTACCCTCCAAGTCTAGGCATGAATCCACTGTTCTCTGGGTGACCCCATGCAAAAAAAAGACTTAAGAGATTAACAACTAGAGTATATATTTAAGAATAGTACAGAGAGTCACATTTGGGGCTTCTTCTATGTAGAATTGTTAGATTACTACTATCTTTGTCTTTAACAAAGATAAGACAAAGAAAGAGGATCATAGCTATGTAGGCGACCTTATAACAGTTATCCTGCCCACTAGTCTACATAGTCTGGATAGTGTCCAGAATATCACTTTGCCTGTACCCTCCAACTTACTTTTGCTTATAACCTTCTGGGTCAACACTCTGGCCTTGAAGCCATGGGGTAAGTCAGTTCCAGACTCTAAACTTAGTTTCTTCATCTTTCAAGTGTTTCAAGTGATGTTTAGGCAAGAGGCATCTGCGGTTCTTTCCAGCTGTGATGTTATATTATGTGACCATAAATAAACATTACCTTCTCTAAAGCAAGAGTATTAGTGAACTCCAATACTTCTCCCAATAGCGAAATGAATTCCTTTTGGATGTAAATTTTATTTTCACAGTCCACACACTTCTATCCCTAGGCAACTCTTTTACAGGAATCTGATGAGAGAAGATGATTGACTCAGCAAACGTCTATCCTCACTCTCAGAATGCCCTCAAATACTTTAATTCAGAAAAGCTCAGAGCATAAAAAATTAGGAGGTTTACTTAATCTGCTTTCTAGAGAATTCTAATGAGAAGCAACATAGCCAAAAACAAGGACTAAGAATTTCCCACACGAACATGATGGGATAGTCAGCATTTTTTCACTTCTCTTCCAAGAAACCATGTTTTTAAAGTACAAATATTTTTTTAAATGCTTTAAACTCTGCCACCTGCATTTTCAATATAATGCAGATATGACATTATGACACATATGATCCACAAAGTCCAAAATACATGTAAAAAACTGCCAAAAACTGAGATTGGCAGAAGGTCCATGGGAGGGAGAGATGAAAAGAAGCACAATGAGTGACAAGAGGGTCCGACACTGAAATCTCAGAAAGCGTCATTAAAGGTACATTTCCTAAATGTGAAGATGATGATCTAACGTGCAAAAGCTATCACCCTTCTTCACAAAAGGTGAGAGAACTGAGTGAGCATGTTTGCTGGGGAGACAGAGAAAGCTC